AGCGACTTTGGCACGCTTATCCCGCTGGACACGAATCCGAAAGCGGAAGTCAGCAACCACCAACTTATGCTGGGGTACAACACTCTCTCCAGGTATCACCTTACAGTCTAGGCACACACGCCTATTTTCTCTTCTCGAGAGGATGAAATCAATCTGGCTAGAGTGTTGGCCACTACTAAAAGTCACCAGATGTGATTCTCTCTTTCTAAAGGGGGTGTTAGCTACAATCATGTCGTAGGCTAGAGCAAAGCTTAAGGCATCTTCTCCTTCTTGAGAGGATGAAATCAATCTGGCTAGAGCGTTGGCCACTACTAAAAGTCACCAGATGTGATTCTCTCTTTCTAAAGAGGGTGTTAGCTACAATCATGTCGTAGGCTAGAGCAAAGCTTAGAACCTGGTACTTTAAGCAGAACAATTGCAATCAGACTAGCATATGGCATGGCATTGATTAGTTGTAAACTTTGGGTTCACCATTGTTTAACCCAATGCTGGTGATTGATGAGGTGGCAGCTGATTTCTCATCTTCTCATAAATACCCTGTAGTACAGTGGAGCAGAGTGTTAACCCAATAATGTGTGAGTTATGAGGTTTCTCTTTGAACCATGTTTGTTTTTCTCATTAGAAGTTAGCTCTTTTGTACCAGAAATTAAATCTTTGGTTGGTAGCTAGAAGACCACTCCTGCTCTGTTTTTTTTATCCAATAGGATGCTATCTTGTGTATACTTCTAAGGGAAGTTCTGTGGTAATATAAAACCGGTGTAGGTTTTTTTTTGAGAAAACCCAAATGGCCTTTGCGTTTCATTGCATTGGAAAGAAAGGGAATTTACATCCTCCTAGGAGGCAGGTTTACACAGTTGTCAGATGATCAGTGGACATCCCAGGATGATGGCAAAACGACCCTGAGCCCTTGAGCCCCGGCCTTTGCCCAACATCGGGCCTCGTCCTTGATCCTGTCGACAAGCTCATTGAGCGATGGGCTCACATGGTCAAAAACGCACGCGTTCCTATGCTTCCAGATCATCCACGGCACCAAAAGCGCCATGGATTTCAGCGCCTTGCGGAGCGCTGGCGGTGTAGGGTTTTTATTGTGCATTTTTCACAATTGGGTGTGGCCGCACCCATGTGTATATTTTGAAGTGATTACTCTATAAAGCTTGCCTTAATTAGATTTTGACTTCTTGTCCTGGTTTCAATTTTGATATGCAGATTCTGGATACAAATCCCGAATTATACTTCCATCTCCAGCAGCAAAAATTAATAGAGTTGATTCGTGCGGGGAAGATAAATGAAGCTTTGGAGTTTGCTCAAGAAGAACTTGCACCAAGAGGCGAAGAAAATGTGAGTTGTAGTGTCTCTATTACTTTAGTTAGGACTCAAGAGTTCAAACCAATCTATATTAATCACTACGCACTAATATTTCTTGGCAATACCACTGATATTAAGACCATGTCGTGACATTATTTTTCGTTATTGAAATGTTGCAGCAAACCTTTCTGGAGGAAATAGAGAAAACTGTAGCACTGTTGGTTTTTGAAGATGTAAAAAATTGCCCATATGGTGAACTGTTGGACGTTTCTCAACGCTTAAAGACGGCAAGTGAAGTTAACGCTGCCATTCTCACAAGCCAAAGTCACGAGAAAGGTCAGTAGCATGAGGATGTGAATGTTGTGTACTTGTGATGCCTAATATTTATCCGTTTGTCTATTTCATGATTTAGTGAGACTGAGGTGTACCTGCATCCATGTGACATATGAACAACTGATATCAAATATCTTATTTTAGAATATGCTGCCTTTTGGTAAAAGAATCTGAAACTAACAAATTGTCAGATGCTTGGGAATTAGGAGCGTTGGGAGTTGATCGTAGGTTGTAGCTGTGCTCTACGGGAGGACGAGGCTTGAAGCCTCGTCGCCCCGTGGCAGGGAAGAGGAGAGGCGCACAAGGCGCAGGGTAACCAAGTTGTGTTTTTTCTTGCTTGATTCGTTCCTCCACAGGGAGGCAATATAAATAGTCAAGTTACATGACGACTCCTAGTAGAAATAGAAACAGACTCCTACTTGTTTTAGCAACAGTAGGGAAAACCTTCTTTGGGACAAAAAACCCTTCCGTTTCCAAACCTGATACTAATTGATACTAATTTGGACACCCCCTGTCCGCTGGCCTCCTCTCTCTGGTTGTACGTCTCCTATACGTACGCCCCCACATGACACAAGTGTATAGCCTATCTAGAACAATGGATAGAAACATGATGCATTTATTCTCATTTTGTACCTCAAAGCAAGGCTAATACTGAATTTTGCCAGAATGTCACATAACTACATATAAATATAAGCAGACATGGCCATGCTCAATACCGGTAACGCTTAAGCTGATCATATGTGATTGGTGATATAAGTAAGAAATACTGATAAGCATGAGTCAAATTATTGCATAGGGCTGCTGCTTGATAATCATTTTGAGAATGTGCCATTGAAAAAAACATGAATTTCAAGGTTAACAGAATGAAAGTTTTGCCTTTTGTGTCTGCTCTTTCAAACTTGCTTCAATCGAAAGTCCTTGATCCTTATGTTTGTTGCATATAACAGATCCAAAGCTCCCCAGTCTGTTGAAGATGTTGATTTGGACTCAAAACCAGCTGAACGAAAAGGCGGCATATCCTCGAATCAACAACTTATCCACCGCCGCACTGGAAGATCCAGCAATATGAGCTGCTGTCCAAAGTGTTGGAGTGTTGACTATGGAGCTTAGGCACCAGCAGCAGCCATGTCTGCATGTACACTATCTGTCGTAGGTCTGTTGTTCGTTTCATCAATGTTCTAGCTTAATGCAAAAAAAAAAACACCAGATAGATAATCCTGCTCTCTCCTGTCGTATAGGTTGTTCTTGTCATTTTTTTTTTTGAAAACAGAGATAAATGTTGCATTTGATTGTTGTTTACAAACTATGTGTTGTTGAATTATTGGCGATAATGTGTTGCACACCATTCATGTGTTCTGCTGGAATGATGCAAAGCAAGGCATCAAGTTCAGCTTGCCTACTGTACAGAAGAATGCTAGTGTTATTAATTTTACTGGTTTCATAGGAATACTATAAGTGAAAAATCATACTAATATTCGAATCTGTACCAAAAACCGTTGAAAGTCAGACGTCGCACATTTTCAAACCGAGGGAGTATCTTATTTGAAGGACCCTGATAAGTGCAACACGTGTGGCATGAAGAAATTTTGACCACATTTTTTTATGACAAGTTTAGTTATCTGAGGATGACAACTTTAGTTGTGAAGCACGGCAACTTTTGGTTTTGAATGGCAAGTTTTAGTTTTTTTGGTTTTTTATGACAATTTTAATTCTAAAAACGTCACTTGTGCCACACTTGTGATCCTTATCATTTGGGTATATTTGAAACAAGTTTTGGATAGTTCGTAGGGCGCTGTGCCACACTTGTGACTCTTATCATTTATCATTTGGGTATATTTGAAACAAGTTTTGGACAGTTGGTAGGGCGCTGCGATCCTCACTGCCGTCCTCTACGGAGAGCTAGACGCAACTGCAGTGCAGTCTCGCTGCCGCCACCATGCATGCCGACGCCATTGCCACTACTCATCCATGAGGACCAAGCCCCCGACCTTCTCGGTCACCACCGCGTCGCAGCTCCACGACGCCATCGACCGCCTCCTCCCGCTGCTCCGCGCCGACGCCGCCCACGCCCCGGCCGCGCGCGCGCTCGCCGCGGCCGCCGCCTCGCTCCCGCCCTCCACGCTGCTCTCCAACCGCCTCCTCCACCTCCTCTCCTCCAACGCCGCCTCCCTCCCCGACGCCCTCGCCCTCCTCTCCTCCGCCCCGAGCCCCGACCGCTGCTCCTACAACACCCTCGTCGCCGCGCTCTGCCGCTCGCCGCGCCACCTCGCCTCCGCGCGCGCGCTGTTCGACCGAATGCCCCACAGGGACCACTTCTCCTGGTCCGCCATCGTCTCCGCCTACTCCCGCCACGGCCGGCCCCTCGACGCGCTCGCGCTCTACCGCCGGATGCAGGGGGAGCCCGGGAGCGCCGACGCCGACAACCAGTTCACCGCGTCCAGCGCGCTCGCTGCCGCCACCGCCGCCCGGTGCGCCCGCGCGGGCAGGGAGCTGCACTGCCACGTGGCCAGGAGAGGGATCGGCGCGGGCGATGCCGTCATGTGGAGCGCGCTGGTGGACATGTACGCCAAGTGCGGCCGGTTGGACGATGCCAGGAGGGTGTTCGATGGGATGCTGGTCCGGGACGTCGTCTCCTGGACGGCGATGGTGGAGAGGTACTTTGACGCCGGGGAAGGATTCAGGCTGTTCCTCCAGATGCTGAGAGCCAGAGGTGTTCGACCGAATGAGTTCACGTACGCGGGGGTTCTGCGTGCTTGCGCAGAGCTCGCCGTCGAGAGCCTCGGGAGGCAGGTGCATGGCCGAATGTCAAAGAGCAGCGTCGGCGACTCGTGCTTTGCAGAGAGCGCGCTCCTGCACATGTACTCCAAGTGCGGGGACATGGCCAGTGTGGTGCTTGTATTCGAGGGGATGCCAAAGGCAGACCTGGTGTCGTGGACGGCAATGATCTCTGGCTATGCGCAGAATGGTCAGCCAGAGGAGGCGTTTCGCTACTTCGACATGTTCTTGAGGTCAGGAATTAGGCCTGATCATGTCACGTTCGTTGGTGCTCTCTCTGCTTGTGCTCATGCTGGTCTGGTCGACAAAGGTCTGGAGGTCTTCCATTTGATAAAGGATACGTATGGCATTGCACACACCGCTGATCATTATGCTTGCGTGATCGATCTACTCAGCCGATCAGGTCAGTTTGAACGGGCAGAGGAGATGATCAACAAGATGGCTGTCAAGCCTAACAAGTTCCTGTGGGCATCCTTGCTTGGTGGCTGCAGGATTCACAAGAATGTCCGCTTAGCTAGGCGGGCAGCAGAAGCATTGTTCGAAATAGAACCTGAAAATCCTGCGACCTATGTTACTCTAGCTAATACTTATGCATCGGTCGGTCTGTTTGATGAAGTTGAGGGTGTAAGAAAGATCATGGATGCAAAGGGCATAACGAAAATGCCGGCGTCAAGTTGGATTGAAGTTGGAAGAAGGGTGCACGTATTTCTGGTCGGTGATAAGTCACATCCTCGAACTGAAGAAATCTATGCCCTTCTGAAAAAGCTTTATGGGAAAATGAGGGAAGAAGGGTATGTAGCGGACACCGGATTTGTTCTCCATGATGTTGAAGATGAGCAGAAGGAGCATGACATTGGCTACCACAGCGAACGACTTGCTGTTGCATTTGGGATCATTGCCACTCCTGAGGGTTCCCCTATCAAGGTTTTCAAGAATCTGCGGATATGTGGGGACTGTCACACTGCTATTAAGCTCATATCGCAGATTGCTCAGAGAGAGATCATCGTAAGGGACTCGAATATATTTCATCACTTCAAGAACGGGGTTTGTTCTTGCAGAGACTATTGGTAATCTATGCTGCATATGTGGGTAGGTTTGACTTCTGATATATGGGCAACTATTATCCATTTTTTCATGGCTAAAGTCGATGTGCATCATCTATTGATTTAGCAGCTGGTGTCACATGAGGTTATTTTTTCGAGAAAACCCAAATGGCCTTTACGTTTCATTGCATTGGAAAGAGAGGGAATTTACATCCTCCTAGGAGGCAGGTTTACCTCCTAGGCTCATGAGACTTCTGGTGTCACATGAGGTTATTGCAATCCAGGCTCCAAGACTCCTTATGAAGCTGCTATTAGGAAAATGGCCTCCAAAGTTTGTAGCTCCGATACCTTGGACAATTTTTCTGCTCTGTTCAAAGGCTAAGTTATATACGTACATGTTTGCTTTCTTGTATTATAACATATCTTGTAAAGATGAGCATTTTGTACAACTGGTTTGCTAGAAATGATCAACCAACAATAACCCTGTCTTTGTTTGGCAAATCAGAAGGAAATTATACTTCATAAAGTTGGGTTTAATTTCAGAATTGTGGATGCTCTAAATTTCCGATATGCAGTTTCCCTCTTACACGAGCACGCTACCCACAATTATCAGTACATCAGTGAATAACGTGATGCTTTGAAAGGTATAACTCTCATGGTACTCATTTCATACAAAACCGAACCACCAAAGTATAAAAAAATCACTAGAAGAATTGCAAGAGAAACCCAATTGTAAGTCTTTTCTTGAAAACTTGCTGAGGAGGGTAGCTCTCAGTTTAGTCTATACAATGCATTGCCTCCATGAATATGGAATCTGAAAGTGCAGAAAGCTGATTTTTACAGTAACTATAACCATCACGAATTCTTATATTTGTATCTCATTGCGCAACCAATGTAAACCAGCAAATTTACAAAGCTGATCCCTGCCATCAACCAAAAGAACCGGTCAAGATGGCCTTCGTTCAAATTATCCGGGATCCATCCTGCATCTCCTCCTTGAGTTGTAAGGTATGACACCAAGGTCAATATGATTGAGCTTAAATAGCTTCCCACCGTGACCGTAACAAGTGCTAATGCAGCACATAAGCTCCTCATGGCATCTGGGGCCTGACTGTAGAAGAACTCGACTTGACCTATAGCGGCGAAAACCTCGGCAGCACCAGCAAAGCAATACTGTGGTATTTGCCAAAGAA